GAGACAGAGTCTCTCTTTGTTGCCCAGGCACAGTGAGTGCCATGCGTCAGCCCTAGCTCACAGCAACCTCAAACTCCTGGCCCAAACAATCCTAGCTGCCCTCAGCCCCCGAGTAGCTGGGAATACAGGCCATGCGCCACCATGCCGGGTTAATTTTTCCTATATATATTAGTTGGCCAATTAATAATTCTATTTCTATTTATAGTAAAGACCTGGGGTCTCTCGCTCTTTGCTAAGGCTGGGCGTTCCAAATCCTGTCTGACCTTGAGCCAACTCTACCCCCTCGGGCCTCCTAGAGTCCTATGGATCTACAACGGTGTGAGCCACCGAGCCCGCCTAAAAGAGAAGTAAAGGGTATATTTGTGGGGGCCTCACCAACTACCATGATGCCCACATTTCCCTGGTTGGGACCATGTGGACTTAAGTTTTAAAAAAAAAAAAAAGTCAGTGGACAACTGAACACTTTTATAACCCACATCATGAAAAAAAGGAAAAATAAATTATTAAATAAATTTTTAAAAAGCCAGTGGACAGGCTGGGCACAGTGGCACACGCCTGTGATCCCAGCACTCTGGGAGGCCGAGGCAGGGGAGGATTGCTTGAGGCCAAGAGTTTGAGACTAGCCTGCGCAAGACCACCTCTCCAAAAAATTAAAAAAAAAAAAAATTAGCTGGCTGTGGTGCTACATCCTGTAGTCCCAGCTACTTAGGAGGTGGAGGCAGAAGGATCGCTTGAGCCCAGCAGTTTGAGGCTGCAGTGAGCTATGATTATACCACTGCACTCTAGTCCAGGTGACAGAGTGAGAGCCTGTCTCAAAAAAAAAGAAAAAGACAGTGGACAAAAATGGCCAGTGGGCCTCACCAATCTGTGTTTTCCACTGCCAGTGACCTCCGAGGCCATGTGTTCTGGAGGTAGAGCTAGTGCAGAGATGCCACCTGACTCTCTTGCCAGTCCATGCGTGAGTTGACCAGCCACCAATGACTTGGGAGTTGTTACTGCAGCCTAGCCTACCCTACCCTACCCTAGCCTACCCTACCCTAGCCCCACTAGCCATGGAATGGAGGGCTCTCACAAAAAATACAATACAGTCATGCATGGCTCAATGACAGGATGGGTTCTGGGTAATGCATTCTTAGGTGGTTTCATCTTTGTGTGGATGTTGGAGTGTATTCACACAAACCTACAGCCTACTATACAACTAGGCTATGCGGTGCAGTACAGCCTATTGCTCCTAGGCTACACACCAGTACAGCCTGTGACTGTGCTGGATATCGTAGGCAACTGTAACACAAGGGTGAGTACTTGTGTTTCTAAACACATCTAGAAATAGAAACAGTACAGTAAAAATATAGAACTATGGTCTTACGGTATTTAGGGACCAGTATCGCCCATGACGTTCGTGGATGACGCAACACCCTAATGGGGGCAGGGCTGTACATGTGCATGCGTTCTTAGTCCCTGCCCCTCAGCTCCAAACCCGCTCTTGCACACCGGGGCGGGGACTGTGCAGACCCCACCTGGGGAGGTGGACCCTTGATTGGGAGGGAGAGGATCTGCCACAGCTTCCCACGTCTCCCCGCCCTGGAAAGGAAAACTGTGCGGGCGGCTTGGCATTTCTGAGAGACCAGCCTACGCTTGTCAGGGTTGGGTTTTTGTTTTTGTTTTTGTTTTGAGACAGAGTCTCACTGTGTTGCCCGGGCTACAGTGAGTGCCGTGGCGTCAGCCTAGCTCACAGCAACCTCAAACTCCTGGGCTCAAGTGATCCTACTGCCTTAGCCTCCCGAGTAGCTGGGACTACAGGATGCGCCACCATGCCCGGCTAATTTTTTCTGTATATTTCTAGTTGGCCAATTAATTTCTTTCTACTTTTTGGTAGAGACAGGGTCTTGCTCTTGCTCAGTATGGTTTTGAACTCCTGACCTTGAGCGATCCTCCTGCCTCTGCCTCCCAGAGTGCTAGGATTACAGGCGGAGCCACCGCGCCCAGGCCAGGGTTGGGTTTTTGAGAGAAATGTTGTCCTGGTTCTTTGGCTCCTTGCTTGCAAGAATTGCAAGAAGGCTCGGTGCAAGTGAACAGACAAGGCAGCAATTCCACACAAACAGCTTTCACTGCAGAAAAGAAGAAGAGAAGAAAGCTACACAACATGAGCATACACTCCAGAGAGAGGAACGGGTCAGTCTCTAAGGTGGTTTCCTTTTAGTGGCGGAGGTGCAGGGTGTTACCAGGCGATCAATACACACGATCGCCAGGTGTCCGCGTTCTCCTGCTTGGTCTTGGCCTTTTCTCCAGCAAGGAGTCAGCATGCCCCCTTCCAGCTCCTGAGCTCCCTCGCCGCCCCTGGAGCCAGGCGGTATCCGGCCCCCAAGTCTCCCCATCTACCTCTGCCCTTAGCCCCGTCCTGAGCCATGGAGACAGGGAGGAAGAAGGGTGCCACCTGTTGGGCCTCACGAATGCCACTGCGGCCCGCGGGGGAGGGGTTGGGGACGTGGAGCCACCCTGCCCGGGCAAGGCAGGGCCTGCCCCAGCGGGGCTGGGCACCATCTCGCACCATCCGTGTCCCCAGAGAAGTGGAAGTAAAGCACCCGCCAAGCTGAACACCCCAGAGACTGGCAGCGGGGCTGGCTCCCCTCCTGTTTCTGCCCGCCTGTCTGTAGTCATCAACCCCATTTTAAACAGTTAAATAGGCCCAGCACAGTGGCTCAGGCCTGTAATCCTAGCACTCTGGGAGGCCGAGGCACGCGGGTTGCTTGAGGCCAGGAGTTCGAAACCAGCTTGAGCAAGAGGGAGACCCGTCTCTACTATAAAGAAATTAATTGGCCAACTAATAGATAAAGGAAAAAAAAAATTAGCCGGGCATGGTGGCACATGCCTGTAGTCCCAGCTATTCGGGGAGACTGAGGCAGAAGAATTGCTTGAGCCCAGGAGTTTGAGGTTGCTGTGAGCTAGGCTGACGCCACGGCACTCACTCCAGCCTGGGCAACAAAGCGAGACTCTGTCTCAACAACAAAAATAAATAAATAAAATAAATAAACAGTTAAATAAAACAAAAAGTCCCTTCCCGCTTGGTCCCCGCTCTCCGCCCCTAAAAAGTCCCCTCATGGCAGCACCTGCCACCTGCAGGTTTAAGCCTCATCCAGCCAGGCCGGCTGGAGGCTCGGGAACGCGCCTACGCGGCTGGCACGCGCGTCCCAGGCGCAGGAATGGGGCGCCATAACGACTAAACTCGGCTATGAAAACGCCAGTGGGGGCCGGGCATGGTGGCTCACGCCTGTAATCCTAGCTCTCTGGGAGGCCGAGGCGGGCGGATTGCTCGAGGTCAGGAGTTCGAAACCAGCTTGAGCAAGAGGGAGACCCGTCTCTACTATAAAGAAATTAATTGGCCAACTAATAGATAAAGGAAAAAAAAAATTAGCCGGGCATGGTGGCGCATGCCTGTAGTCCCAGCTACTTGGGAGGCTGAGGCAGAAGGATTGCTTGAGCCAGGAGTTTGAGGTTGCTGTGAGCTAGGCTGACGCCAGGGCACTCACTCTAGCCTGTGCAACAAAGTGAGACTCTGCCTCAAAAAAAAAAAAAAACGCCAGTGGGGCGACGCCGGGAAACCCGCCCAGCCTCGCAGCCCCGCTCGGTTTCCCCAGCCCAGCCTCCTGCGGCCTTGAAGACCCCGAACCCCGGGCCGGCCCCCCTTGAGTCCCAGACTGCCAGTCCCCGGGTGCCTCCGCCTCCGGAAGTCCTCCCCGCCGGCTCCCCGGAAGTCCTCCCCGCCGGCTCCTAGCCGCTCTGGCCCTCGCGGGCCCTTCTCGCTGGTGCGCTCGGCGGCGCTGCGCCCGGCCGCTCTGGCCCGCGGGGCGCTCGACTGCTCCCAGGCGCGGTCCCGCCCCGCGCCGCCCGGCCTCCGCCCCCGGCCCGCGTTCCCTCGGCAACGCGGCGGGCCGCGGGGAGCCGCCGCCATGGACGCGCCGTCGGGCGCTGGGCCTCGCCGGGCTCGCGGCGGCTTGGGCGCTGCCGGGCCGACGGCCTCGGGCCCCGCGGCGGGTGAGCCGGCGGCGGCCTGGGCGCGCTTCTCCGCCTGGCTGGAGTGCGTGTGCGTGGTCACCTTCGACCTGGAGCTCGGCCAGGCGCTGGAGGTGAGCGGCGGCGCCAGCCCCGGCCGAGGGGCCGTCGGGAGAGGGGGGCTGCGCTCGGTGTCGTCTTCACGTTGCACGGAGGAGACAGGGCCTGCACTTTGCGTGAGCAGAGTGGTACTCTTTCGAGTCTTCTCTTTTTCCTTTTCTGGTTTTTTAGAGACAGAGTCTCGCTCTGTCTCCCAGCCTGGACAGTGCAGTGTCATGATCATAGCTCACTCCTGGCCTCAAGCGATCCTCCCGCCTGGGCCTCCCAGAGCGCACCGGGCTAGCCTCGAATTTTCCTAATAGGTACCTGTTATATCCCCACCCCACCTTTCCCCCCCGGATCAACGAGACCTTCATCCCCTCGGTTGCTCCTGCTGGAGACCCATGGGTCCCTTGACTCTCCATTCCTCCCCTCCCTCCACATCCCACCCCTAGCAAGGCTGACAACTCACCTTGCAACAGGGGTCTCAAATCCTTCATCTTTCCCGCCATCACCAAGGTTACTCCTCTTGACTTCACCCCAGAGCTCAACCTTTGTGGCTCTCCTTAAAATCCTGCAGCTCGTACTCGGGAGGCTGAGGCAGCAGGATCGCTTGAGGCCAGGAGTTTGAGGTTGCTGTGAGCTAGGCTGACGCCATGCCACGGCACTCACTCTAGCCTGGGCAACAAGGCGAGACTCTGTCTCAAAAAAAAAAAAAAGAAAAGAAAAGAAAATCCTGCAGTTCGTCCTTGCTCATATAGAATCGAATCCGGACTCCAACGGCCCCTGCTTGGTTCCTCCACCCTCGTCTTGTACCATTCTTGCTGTGCCCAGCTTGGCCTGGCTTGGGCTTAAAGATGCTGTCTGTGGTCTTCCCACTGCCTGCAAGCCTCCACCCCATCCACCCACTCTTCCTCCAAGTGCGGGTGAAAATGCCAGACTCAAGGAGGCCTTCTCTGTGCCCTGAAGGCCATAGCACAGAGCAGGGAGCTGACCTGCAGGTAGAGGGGTCGGGGAGGTAGGCTGCACTGTCAGGAGTCTCTTGAGAGGTAATGAGCTTCCCATAACTGCAGCTAGTGGCCAAGATAAGGCTGAAGATTTATCATCAGGAAAGCTAGTGCAGCATGTCCTTGTGGTTAGGAGACTTTTTCTAAGGCCCTGCTGAACTCAGCCTAAAGTCTTCTAAACCGAAAAGTATAATTCTTAGTGAGACTGCTGGCACTGTTCCCAGGACTCTCAGTGCAGCCCTCACCACCCCCAGCAGGTGCACGTTTGAAAAGAGAACCACTTGGGAGGAGGGGCCAAAAAGAGGTGAAGTGATTTCACCAAGATTGCAGAGCCCACTTCAATACTGTTGCCCAAATTGTTCCCCATAAAATCACAAGGAAGCTAGGTTCATGCCTTGTAATCATGTAATTAGCACTTTGGGAGGCTGAGGCAGGAGGATCGCTTGAGGCCAGGCCAGGAGTTCAAAACCAGCCTGGACAACCTAGGGAAACCCTGTCTGTAAAAAAAAAAAAGAAAGAAAGAAAGAAGAAAAAATTTAGCCAGCCACAGTGACACTTAACTGTAGTCCCAGCTACTCGTAAGGCTGATGTGAGGGGATCACCCAAGGTGAGCCTAAGAGTTTGAGGTTGCAGTGAGCTATGATCACACCACTGTACCCCAGATTGGGTGACAAAGTGAGACCTTGTCTCTTAAAGAAAAGCAAGATCACAACAGAGGTAAGAGATTCTTCTATTTCCTTAGGGCATTCTCATGTATAATTTTCTAAAACTTAACCATTCAGAAAGTCAATTCTAAGCAAATACTGTTAGAGGCTGTGTGTGCTTGGACTTCTGAGCCTTTGCTGAGGCTGCACAGCTGTGGGGTATTGGGTACCCCCGGGTCACCTCTGAAATGGTCCATAGCAGTGACCTGGGTCCCTTTGGTTCATTTTCTATGTAAAACCCTGGAAATGAATCCATCTGTGGTTTAACCATGCGACACTATCAGGTTACCTCTGCCTGTCCTCCCTCCCCAGAAGCTATAGAGAAGATCAGGATCACTCAGTGGACCCCCAGACTTTCAGGGAGCACCCACCCTGCACTCACTTCTGCACAAGTCAGCCTGGCTGAGCTCTGCAAAGCCCCAGGACGTGCTTGGTGCTGGGATGGAAGGAAGACTTGAGCTAGGAAGGATGTGGCTCAGAGGAAGGAATGAACTCAGCTAAATAAGTTGGAGGATGAGGCAGCCAGACACCTAGGGGAATGCGTTTCAGGTAATCCCTCCAGGAAAAAGCCAACATAAGCAAATACTAGGAGCTGTCCTTTGTTCAGTAAATCAGGTGTTTGTTTGTTTGTTTGTTTGTTTGTGACAGGATCTTAACTCTGCTGCCCAGGATGGAGTGCAGTGATGCAAACGCAGCTCCCTGTAGCCACCGACTACTGGGGTCAGGTGATCCTCTTGCCTCAGCCTCCTGAGTAGCTGGGACTACAGGCCTTGCCACTACATCCAGTTAATTTTTCTTATTTTTTGTAGAGACAGGGTCTTGCTATGTTGCCTAGGCTGGTCTTGAACCCCTGGCCTCAAGTGGTCCTCCTGCCTTGGCCTCCCAAAGTGCTGGGGTTATAGGTGTGAGCCATGGTGCCCAGCCAGTAAATCAAGCATTGAGCAGCTGTCACTGCCAGGCCCCCACAGAGCCAGGACCAAGCACAGAAACCTGGAAATAAACCAGAGACAAGGCTTCCCCCCAACCCCACGAGTTCACACTCTGTGCTAGATACATGGAGAATAAGTGGTCCAGCCCTCCCAGGAACCCCAGCCTTCACGGGACCCCCCAGCCCTCACAGGATCCCCTGAGTACTGGGCTTTTGGGGGTCCCATGCAGTGGGAGCACTGGGGCCTCTGTACCAGGCCAGTGGTCCGGCTTGAGAGGGGATAGGCAGGGCCGCTGAGGAAAGGGCCTGGCTCCACGATCTCCGCTCACCCAGAGGTCTCTGGGGCGACCTATGGCTGGAATACCCCAAGAGCTCTCCATGGTGGCACCCACACTCTCCCAGGCAGTAGTTCTCATGCTGCAATCTCAGGACCCCTTCACAGTCTTAAATATTATTGAGGACTCCAAAAAGCCTTTTGTTTGCATGAGTTATCTCTATATACGTTTAACATACTGGAAATTAAAACTGAGGAAATTAGCCAGGTGTCGTGGCTTGTGCCTGTGGTCCCAGCTACTTGGGAGGCTGAGTCGGGAGGATCCCTTGAGCCCGCAGTTGGAGGCTTCGGTGAGTTGTGATCACCCTGCTGTGCTCCAGCATGGGTGATAGAGTGAGACCCTGTGTCAAATAAATAAATAACTTTTTTTTTTTTTTTTTTTGAGACAGAGTCTCACTTTGTTGCCTAGGCTAGAGAGAGTGCCGTGGCGACAGCCTACCTCACAGCAACCTTAACTCCTGGGCTCAAGCGATCCTTCTGCCTCAGGCTCCCGAGTAACTGGGACTACAGGCATGTGCCACCATACCCGGCTAATTTTTTCTACATATGTATTAGTTGCCCAATTAATTTCTTTTTGTTTATAATAGAGATGGGATCTCACTCTTGCTCAGGCTGGTTTCGAACTCCTGACCTCGAGCGATCCTCCCGCCTCAGCCTCCCAGAGTGCTAGGATTACAGGCGTGAGCCACCGCGCCCGGCCTTAAATAACTTTTTTAAAAACTGAGAAAATTGGGGCCAGGTGTGGTGGCCGAGGCGGGAGAATCGCTCGAGGTCAGGAGTTCGAAACCAGCCTGAGCAAGAGCGAGACCCCGTGTCTATTATAAACAGAAAGAAATTAATTGGCCAACTGATATATACATAGAAAAAATTAGCCAGGCATGGTGGCGCATGCCTGTAGTCCCAGCTACTCGGGAGGCTGAGGCAGGAGGATCGCTTGAGCCCAGGAGTTTGAGGTTGCTGTGAGCTAGGCTGATGCCACGGCACTCACTCTAGCCTGGGCAACAAAGTGAGACTCTGTCTTAAAAAAAAAGAGAGAGAGTGATGGAGGCACCAGTGCATGAGAATAGCTTTGACCCCAAGGACCTCCGGGGTAACTGTACCACACTTTGAGAACCACTTCCTAGACATGCCTTCTTCAAACAGAAGTTCACCACGTGTACTCAGGGATGGCCAGGTTACTAGGAGCAGCGACCCGTGCAGGCTGGTGCAGGGGAAAATTTTGGACAGGGCCTCCTGGGACCCTGGCAGGGCACAGCCTGGCCTGGGAGGACTCCTTGTTCTGAGGGTCAGCTCCATTTGGCCGCTCACCGTGGCGTGGCCCACCCTGGTCAGCTGAGCTCTGGCTCCCCTCTCAGCCTCTAGGCTGGACCTGGACCCTGGACCCCAGAGCCACTTCCCGAGCAGGATGAGCCAGCCTGTGAAGGTGGATTCCCCAGAGAGATGTTCCAACGGGGCCCCCCGGGCGTGGGCTTGGAGCTCAGAGGCTGAGCTGGCCTGCCCAGATGCTGCCAGACTCCTTGGCCACCAGGCCAGGCACAGACCCCTGACCTTAAGCAGAGGGCCCGTTGTGGCCCTGCCCCGGCTGCCGCCTGTCCTCAGCCCTCCTCTCAATGCAGAAGCAGCTGTCCTGCAGCAGCCCTGTGGGTCCAGCCCCCCAAATCCTCCCCCGCTTCCCACCTTCCCCGGGCTCCCTGCCCTCCCTGACCGAGTCTTGGTGCCCAGCTGACAGCTCCGTGACCGGCTTCCCTCTCACATTAAGGTTTCCAGCCTTAGGCCGGGCGCGGTGGCTCACGCCTGTAATCCTAGCTCTCTGGGAGGCCCAGGCGGGAGGATCACTCAAGGTCAGGAGTTCAGGACCAGCCTGAGCAAGAGCAAGACTCCATCTCTACTAAAAATAGAAAGAAATTAGCTGGCCAAGTAAAAATATATAGAAAAAATTAGCCGGGGATGGTGGCGCCTGCCTGTAGTCCCAGCTACTCGGGAGGCTGAGGCAGGAGGATTGCTTGAGCCCAGGAGTTTGAGGTTGCTGTGAGCTAGGCTGACTCCATGGCACTCTAGCCCCGGCAACAGAGGCAATTTTTTATTATTTTCTGTCTCAAAAAAAAAAAAGGTTTCCAGCCTCACCTGCTCATCCTGGTGGAGCTCCTAGACATGTCTTCACACAGTCCACAAATACTGTGTTTGGGGCGGGTCTGTTACCTGCCAGGTGCTGGGAGGCAGAAGTCACAGGACAGGGTCTCCGCCTCCGTAGCATGCAGCGGGAGAGACAAAGCCCAGACCAGACGTGCACACAAGCAGAGCCGCTTCAGCAGGGCGGGGTGTGTGCAGCTGGGGTACGGCTCAGAAACCTCAGCCAGACCCACCTCCTCAGCACAGAAGTACGGCGGAGTAAGAGGGGGTGCTGTGCACAGGGGCCCCCAGCAGGCTCCAGGCAGAGCCCAGGAGACTCCGCAGGAGCCCGCCGGGAATGGGGGCGCTGGGGGCTCCCTGCCCTTTTAGCAGCACCCGGCGGGAAATCCGTTCTGGCCACGGGCCTGTGCGAGGATGCGCTGGGCTGGGCTCCCAGCCGTGCCCGCCCGGCCTGCTGCTTCCTCCAGAGCACAGCTTGTCTTCCAGACCGGCCGGAGCCCGTCGCTTAGGGCCTGCGCTTTCACTGGCCGTCCACTCCCAGGGGGTGCGGGCTGGTCCGGCTGGTCATTCACCACGTTGCAGCCGGGACACAGGCCCTGGCGGGGGTTGAGGGCGGCTGAGCAGGGCAAGGGGTGGGGATGCCCCCCAGGAAGCTGCCATCACGGGGAACCGTGGCCAGGCGAGGAGGCCAGGGAGAGTGGCATGGCCCGAGACCCTCTGGCCCTGTGACCACTCGAGGTGAGACGCTGTCAGGGGGCTCCCAAACCCCTGCTGACGCCGTGGGGGACAGCATCGGGGCTGGGGGCACAGGGAGGCCCAAGTACCGCCTGGGCAAGAGGGAGGCTCAGCCGGGCAGCCCTGAGGACAAGGGGTATAAGGAAGGAGTCGGGAGCCCACCCAAGGGTGCTGGCTGTGCTAGGAAGGAGGAGGGAGCAGAGAAGCCTCTGGCTGGCTGAGCACTTAGGGATCCCGTGGCGTGTGTGGGGTGGGAGGGGCCAGGGGCCAGCCAGCCTCTGTGGGCACATACGTGTTTCCCCGAAAATAAGACCTACCCATAAAATAAGCCCTGGCAGGATTTCTGAGCATTTGCACAATACAAGCCCTACCCAGAAAATAAGATCTAGTGACAGGTGAGGCTACACAGCGGATCTGCACAACCCATGCATTTATTCCGTCACGGAGCGGTCAAGAAGATGAGCAGCCCTTCTCACCTGCCCCGTGAGAGCTCTATGGCTCCACATGAGAGATTGGGGCCAATGGTTATAAAGGAAATAGATTTGGCCGGGTGGTGGCTCACGCCTGTAATCCTAGCTCTCTGGGAGGCTGAGGCAGGTGGATTGCTCCAGGTCAGGAGTTCGAAACCAGCCTGAGCAAGAGCGAGACCCTGTCTCTACTATAAATAGAAAGAAATTAATTGGCCAATTAATATATATAGAAAAAATCAGCCGGGCATGGTGGCGCATGCCTGTAGTCCCAGCTACTCGGGAGGCTGAGCAGAGGATGCTTGAGCCCGGGAGTTTGAGGTTGCTGTGAGCTAGGCTGACTCCACGGCACTCACTCTACCTGGCAACAAGAGCGAGACTGAGTTATGATGACGTTCCAGAAGACGACTTAACTCTATTTGGATAAATGTAGATTGTTGTACCGTACTTAAAAAAAATAACACAGCCCCTGAAAATAAGCCCTAGGGTGTCTTCTTGAGGAAAAATAAAATATAAGACCCCATCTTATTCTTGTGGAAACACGGTACCCGCAGCCCGACAGACACTGCGCCCCCCCACGGCGCAGCCCAGCCGGCGTGAGCCCGCGGTGCTGCCGCCCCAGCCGGTGCCCTGTCTTCCTCCGCAGCTGGTGTACCCGAGCGGCTTCCGGCTCACAGACAAGGAGGTGGGTCCCGGCCCTCCTGGGAGCGGACGTCAGCCAGGAGGGCACAGCCCTCACCGGGTTTTGTGTGTTTCAGAAAAGCAGTATCTGCTACCTGTCCTTTCCTGACTCGCACTCAGGTAGGCTGCCCCCTCCCTCCCCGGGGTGGACACTGGCTACGCTGGGGGCCCCTGCGGCCTGGCCGGGGGCGTCGCAGCCACCTGATGCAGGGGTGGGTGGTGCCCGCCCCGTCCCCGCCCAGGGGGGGACCCAGACCTCCGTGCTGCCGCAGGGCAGCCGCGCCCCTCAGATTCCTGTGGACAGAGGTGGTTCTGGACAGAGGGGCCAGCAGAGGCCAGTGTCTCCCCACAACCGCACCACAGCGGCCACCAGGAGCGGGGCCATCCTCCCGCCCCCATCCCCAGGGCACAGGTGTCTGCACGGCCCGTTAGCGCCCGTTTTCTGTCTCGGGCAGGTTGAGGCAGGCTCCAGGTGTGTCTCTGTGTGCTGTGCTCACTCCAAGACCACTAGGTGGGGAGTGCGGGCGTCAGGGCAGGAGCCCACTGAGGGACACCCCAGCCCTGGGGTGTCCTTCCCCTCTGGGGATTTCCACCAGCGGATGCCAGCCCCGCGGGGGCCCTTGCCCCGGGACCCCAACTCCAGTGCCTGCAGGGCGGCTCCCAGCCCTGACACACGTGCCGGGGCTGCCCCTTCTCAGGCTGCCTTGGGGACACGCAGTTCAGCTTCCGCATGCGCCAGTGTGGAGGGCAGAGGAGCCCCTGGCATGCCGAGGACCGGCAGTACAACAGCAGGGCCCCCGTGGCGCTGCAGGTAGGTGAGCACGGGCTGCCTCTCGCCTGCCCTTGCCCCGCTCCCGGGGGGCCCCGCCGGGACAGGGTCAGAGCGAGAAGCCCCTGCAAAGGCCTGGGGCTGAGTGGCAGGGGAGGCGCTGGCCAGGCCCACCCACCCTGCGCAGTCACCGAGTGCTGCGGCCCCACCTGCCCTGCAGGTCCAGGCACCGTCCTCACCAGGGGTGGGCAGCTCCTCTGGGGGCGCACTGGGCCCCCCCTGGAGCTTTCCGTTTGCACCTGGCATCCGAGGCTGGGCCGAGTGTGGGCCTTCCCTGAGCCCCTCTCCGCGTGTGGGCTCCGCTGTGTGGGCTGGTTCCTTCCGTGTCCGCAGGGTGTTCCCTGCAGCGGTGTGGTCCACCCTCTGGGCCAAGGACCTGACCCAGGGACACCTCCACCCTGGTGGCCAGAGGGCAGGCCCCACGGTGCAGGGACCTCGGAGCTGCGGGTTCTCAAGGCGGCGCTCCTCAGCATCCCCGGCCCTGCCCCTGGGGCTAGCAGGGTGGTCTGGGGGGCAGGGCCTGGCTAGCTCTGTGCTCTGTGCTTCCAGAGGGAGCCTGCACACTACTTTGGCTACGTGTACTTCAGGCAGGTGAAGGACAGCTCCATGAAGAGGGGCTACTTCCAGAAGGTGAGCTGCTGGGGGTGCGGCTGGGAGGCAGGCCGGGAAGGGAGCCCTGCGCCTCTAGGAGTGCCCACCCTCCTGCTGCAGGACTGGGGGGAGGTGCCGCTGTGCCCAGCTCTCCTTGCAGCCCCTCTGGGGACTGGGCCCCTTCCCTGCCCAGCATGGGGCCCGAGGCCGTTGTCTCGGCCCAGGACATTCCTGCCCTCACCGCTGCCTGGAGCGGGCTCTGGTCACACCTTCAGAGTTAGAGCAACTTCATCCTCGAACTGAGGCACTGCTTGGCCCCTGGGGCGATCATTCCAGAAATCTTGGCCACCATATGTGTCCCTCTGCAGGCCCCCAGGTCCAGCCCCACCCTGCTGTCATCTAGGGGTTTTCCCCTCCCCGTGAGTCAGGCTTTGGGTTTTCTTCTGTCTAGTAAATCTGGGGTCTGAGTTGGGCTGTTCCTGGGGCGGCTGTCTGTCTTGTGGGGTTGCTGGGGTGTCAGCTTGGCTTCAGGGGTCCCTGAGTCAGGCGCCCTCTGACCGGCCCTGTGTCCCCGCAGTCTTTGGTGCTGGTGTCCCGTCTGCCCTTTGTCCGGCTGTTCCAGGCACTGCTGAGCCTGATCGCCCCCGAGTACTTTGACAAGCTGGCGCCCTGCCTGGAAGCAGGTGAGTGGCTGTCGGGCACGGCCCTGCTGGGCTTGGCAGGCAGCGTCTCCCTGGGGAGTGTCCTGACGCCGGCCACCTGTGTCCACAGTTTGCAGTGAGATTGACCAGTGGCCGGCCCCTGTGCCTGGGCAGACCCTGAACCTGCCCGTCATGGGAGTTGTCATCCAGGTGAGGGCCAGTCGGCGGGGGAGCGGGAGCTGCAGGTGCACCCAGACAGCCCCTCGCTCTGGCAGCTGCCCCCTCCCTCCTCAGGTGCGCATCCCGTCCAGGGTGGACAAGCCCGAGTCCAGTCCTCCACAGCATCGCGACCAGGAGGTGTGAGCCGAGGCGGAGACGGGTGGGCTCCACCTGACCCCCTCCCGGGCCGGGCGGCACCTCGCCTGCCTTGCTGGCCCACACTGCAGGGTAGCCAGACCTGTCTCGGTGCAGGGCTGGGGGTTCTCCATCCTGCCCAGTGCTGTGGGGGAGGCGTGCAGGGCGGGCGCCACGGGCTCTCCCTGGGCGGTTGAGAGGTGCTGCTTGGGCCTGACCCCTCCCTCCCTCAGAACCTGCTGCCAGCCCCCGTGGTCCTCACCAGCCTCCACGAGCTGGACCTGTTCAGGTGAGCCCTGTAGGGTGCCACCCGCCACTGTGGGGGAGTCCACCATGTGTTTGTGTGTGCATGTATATATGTGCGGATGTGCACATGTGTGCATGTGTGCGTATGTACGTGTGTGGTGTGTGTATTTGTGTGGGGTGTGTGCACATGTGTGTAGTGTGTGGTATATTGTGTGTGTTATGTGTGTGCATGTATGGTGTGTTATGTGGTTTGTGTGGTATGTGATGTATATGTGCATGTGTGTGGTATGTTTGCATGTGTGGGGTGTGTGCATGCATGTGGGATGTGTGTTGTGTGTATGCACGTGGGGGATCCAGGTGGGTGGGGGTATGCATATATGTGTCTTATATGTGCATGTGTGTGCATGTGTGGCATGTATGTGTGTGGGGTGTGTGTATGTATGTAGTATGTGTTTGTTGTGTGTATGCATGTGGGGGGTGCAGGTGGGTGGGTGTATATGCATGTGTGTGTTGTGTGTGTGCAGTGTGGTGTGATATGTATGTGCATGTGTGTGGTATGTATGCATATGTGGGATCTGTGCATGTATGTAGGGTGTGTGTTGTGTGTATGCATGTGGGGGTTCAGGTGGGTGGTGTGTGTGCATGTGTGCCTTGTGTGTGTCTTGTGTGTGCATGTGTGGTGTGTGATGTGTATGCACATGTGTGTGGTATGTATGCATATGTGGGACTGCATGTATGTGGGGTGTGTGTTGTGTGTATGCATGTGGGGGATGCAGGTGGGTGGGGTGTGTGTGCATGTGTGTGTCTTGTGCGTGTGTGTGCGTGGCCATTGCAGGGTGGGACTCCCTGGAGGGACCACTGGTGAGGAGCCCGTGGGACAATCCTGCAGGGAGAATTGTGCAGACAAGGAAACCAAGCCCAAGTGTCTGCACTCAGAGGAAACGGGGACGGTGGGCAGGTTCTGGAAGGCAGGTGGCAGGGAGAGGGAGACATCCGAGCCTCAGGCTACCCTCTCTGCCTCCCTGCCTGAGTCTGTGCGGGAGCCTGGGCTTTGAGATGGTCCTGCTCTGAGCTGGGCCCAGCGTGACAGCAGGCGTCTGGGTGTGGTGCCCCATCGGGGTCAGCGGCCCCTACCTGGGCGTCAGGGCCATGCAGGACTGCCAGCCCCTCCCAGGCAGGGTCCAGGTTGAGTCCCCCGTTCCCAGGGCCAAGCCCAGCACAGATGGACTATCATGGTGGCCACAGTGGCCTGACATATACTCGTGTCTTCAAATGTCCTCGGCACCGTCTTCCCCTGGGCCGGTGCCCCGTGTTCACCAGAGCCGGGTCCCAGCACGGACGGTGCTGAGAGGGCTGAGCTGGGGGCCTGGGCAGGGGTGCGGGGCCACACACACACACACACACACACACGCAGGCTCCCCTCCGCACCCTCCTGACCCCCAACTGCCCTGCCTGGCGACAGGTGCTTCCGGCCTGTGCTGGCCCACGTGCAGACCTTGTGGGAGCTCATGCTCCTCGGGGAGCCCCTGGTGGTCTTGGCCCCCTCGCCCGACGTGTCCTCGGAGATGGTGCTGGCCCTGACCAGGTACCGCCTTGCTGGAGTCCCAGGCGGGGGCACCGGGCCGTCCCGTGTGCCCAGCCACCCCTCACCTGCGCCCTGCCGCCCACCCTGCAGCTGCCTGCAGCCCCTCAAGTTCTGCTGCGACTTCCGCCCGTACTTCACCATCCACGACGCCGAGTTCAAGGAGTTCACGACCCGCGCCCAGGCCCCGTAAGTGCACGTCTTCCCCGCCGCCCCCGCGCCCGCCCCCGCCCCGCCTCCCCGGGCCTGTCTCTGCCTCTTCTCTTCTCTCTCCGTCTAGACCAAATGTGGTCCTGGGAGTCACAAACCCTTTCTTTATCAAAACACTCCAGCACTGGCCCCACATCCTCCGGGTCGGGGAGCCCAGGATGTCAGGTGAGGGTCTGGGGCAGGTGTGGTGGGGGTCTGGGAGGGCTGAGCCTGTGGGAGTGGCCAGAGCCGCAGGCCTGAGGCCCGGCCCCCGGGCACATCTCGCAGGGGACCTTCCTAAGCAGGTCAAGCTGAAAAAGCCCTCACGGTTGAAGACCCTCGACACCAAGCCAGGTCTGCACTCCCCGTGGGCTGGAGCCCCCTGTGCCGTGGAGGGGGCTGTCTCCACTGGCAGGTCTCCTGGGCGGGACGGTCAGGCCTCCCGAGAACCCCTCCTCTTCTTCCAGGCCTCAGGCAGCAGAGTTCACAGTCCCTGGGCCGGGGAACACTCCCTTCTCTTCTTCTGTGGGACTCTCTGTGTCTGGGGCCAGGGTGGGTGAGGCGTGCAGGTGCTGGGAAACAGGCTGCAGGCAGATGCAATGCCCTCCCCTCACCCTTCCGTGGGGCCGTGGGGTGCGGGAGCTCAGCCCCCCAAGGATAGGGTGCCAGCTCGCCCTCCCGCCAGGCCTCTACACCTGCTACACAGCCCACCTCCACCGGGACAAGGCGCTGCTCAAACGGCTACTCAAGGTGCAGGCTGGTGGGGATGGGCTGGGGAGGCACAGGGTGCTGGGGTGGCGTGAGGGCTGCCTGGGGCTCAGCTGCCCCCCTCCCGCAGGGCGTGCAGAGGAAGCGGCCTTCGGATGCGCAGAGCGCCCTGCTGCGGCGGCACCTGCTGGAGCTCACGCAGAGCTTCATCATCCCCCTGGTGAGGCCCGGGCAGCGGGAGGGCGGGAGGGCTGCGGCGGGGGGCTGTGGCCCCAGGCTCACTGCACTGCCCACCCCAGGAGCACTACATGGCCAGCCTCATGCCCCTGCAGAAGAGCATCTCGCCCTGGAAGGTGGGGGTCCAGGTGGGCCCCGGGAGGGTGGATTTGCGTCCCCACCCCAGAGGAGGGAGGGTCAGGGGCAGGAGGCTGCAGGTGTGCTCGAGCTGTCACCAGGGCTCGCAGCCGCCGTGCACCCCGGTCACCATGCGTGGGGTGGGGGCCGGGGGAGAGGGATGGCAGGATCCCCAGCGGGGCTCGGGGCCTCCTCCCTGACAAGGGCCGTCCCGGGATCCGTCCCAGGCGGGGTGGGGGCCAGGGTCTTCAGACGTGGGAGGAGCGTGTCTGGGAAGTGTCTGCAGGGTCTGGAGGCCGTGCGCCCAAGGGCCCGCTCACCTGGCCCGTCTCAGACCCCCCCGCAGATCCGCCCCTTCAGCCAGGACGACTTCCTGCGCAGCCTGGAGCACGCAGGGCCCCAGCTCACCTGCATCCTCAAAGGAGACTGGCTGGGCCTCTACAGGTGGGTGGGCCGAGGGTGATCGCTGCCCGTGCCCCTACCCTCAGCCCGTGGGGTCGGCCCTACAGCCCTGGCCTCTCAACCCCCACAGGAGGTTTTTCAAGTCCCCGCATTTTGACGGCTGGTACCGGCAGCGGCACAGGGAGATGGCCCAGAAGCTGGAGGCGCTGCACCTGGAGGCCATTTGTGAGGCGGTGAGGGAGGCCGGGGGTAGAGGACGGAGCCCAGGGCCCAGGGCAGGGGTGGGGGACTGGGTCGGGGACCGAGGACCCGCCCTTGTCCCTGGCAGAACATCGAGAGCTGGATGAAGGACAAGTCTGAGGTGGAGGTCGTGGACCTGGTCCTGAAACTGCGGGAGAAGCTGGTGAGGCGCCTCCCAGCGGCGAGTGGGCACGGGCCCGACCGCGGCTGTCCCTGACCGCGCTGTCCCTGCAGGTGCGGGCGCAGGCCCACCAGCTGCCCGTCAAGGAGGCGACGCTGCAGCGGGCACAGCTGTACATCGAGACGGTCATCCACTCCCTGCCCAAGGACCTGCAGGCCGTCCTGTGCCCGCCCTAGGACGGGGCCAGGGTGCCGAGGTCTGGCCGGGCCTCCCACTCCCCGGCGGCAGCGGTGGCCCCCGGCCAAGCATGAGCCCCCAGGCCTTGGCCCCCCGCCCAGGCTCGGGGCTCCCCTCCCCGCAGCGCCATTGTCCCAGCAGTAAACGTGACATTTGGAACCGCAGCCTGGTCCCTGACTACTGGGGGATTATGGGCTGGCAGAGCCTCCCCTCCTCCTGGTCCCACCTGCCCTCCACAGGCCGCAGGCCAGGGGGCGGGGTGGGCACGAGCCCTGCTGCGCACCCACCTCCCGGTGTCCATCTGCCCCAGCCCCACACGTCTCGTTTGATGTGTCCTTCAGCCCCAGCGGGCTGCCCGGCCCAGGACAGGGAGGCAGCTGACGGGGCCCCTCCTCACAGCCCACCCGCCGTCTTGCCCACAGCCGCTGGCGTGGGGGGAGGCTGCTCTGCAGCAGGGAGCTCTGCCCAGCGTCCCGGCGCCCTGCTGGGCCCCACCTGCCCAGGGCTGTGGTTTGGGGGTGTGGTGGGCAGCGGCAGTGTGGGGCCCAGTGCCCCTGCTGGGAGAGCAGGCTCGGCCCGGCCCTCAGAGGGTCCACAGCCTTGTCCTGGTTCCTGCTCCCGAAAGACCCCACCTGGCACCAGCCTGGACACGACAGGTGCTCTCGTCATCCCCTTGTGTAGAAACCCCCCACGTGCAGCCTGACCCTACCTCCCCAGCGGGAGCCTCCATGGTTCTGTAGCCTCAAGGTGCAGCTGAGCTCCTTGGTGAGAGATGAGGGTCCCTACCAGGTGCCACCTCTGGGTCATACTGTCCCCCTTGTATGACCCCTCCAAGCACTGGGCCCAGCAAGGTAGAGCCCTGTCACCGCTCAGCACATGGTGGCAGCACCGTCAGGGCCCAGGGGAGGGTGGACATCCGGGTGTGGACCCAGAGCTGCAGCCAAGCCCCAGCTCAGTGTCACCCCACTGTGTGCCCGTGGGTAAGTATCCTGGCCACTCAGACCCTCAGACTCCTCATCTGAAAGAGCGGGCCCCGTGTGGATGCCTGACGGGGTAGCTGCAGGGAGGCCCGTCCGTGGAGACCAGGCCTGTGCCCCACAAGGCCTGGGTGAGGCGCTGTCCACCGCCCTGAGCCGGGGTCCCGGTGCAGCACACACAGGGCCGGGGGAGGGCTTTCCTCTCCTGCCGAAGCCCCATCCAGTTCCGGGGGCGCAACCCTCATTCAGGGCGATCCTGCAGCTGCCACGGGCTTGTGGGTCCTCACTGGGACTCCCTAGACCACGTCCTCTCGTGAGCAGGGGTGAATCGAGGCATCGCTGACCACTTTCCACACTGGGCTTGGCTGGGTACCAGACACAAGCCAGGTGTCCACGTGCCGGGTGTCTCTGTGCCCGGCACTGTTCTCAGGACTTTGTACATGTGGCCTTGTCCATCCTGACCACGGTTTAGGGCAGCCTGCCACGTCCCCATCACAGGCACAGGACAGGGTGGTGGAGGGGGCAGCTGGGCCCAGACAGTCCGGTGCAGGGTCCAGGACACAAGCGCTGGCAGACGGAGCACAGGCAGAGGGAAGGGGCAAACCTGTTTTTCGAAAGGGCCAGGCCTGGCCAGGTGCTGTAATCCTAGTGCTCTGGGAGGCCGAGGCGGGAGGATCGCTCAAGCTCAGGAGTTTGAAACCAGCCTGAGCAAGAGCGAGACCCCGTCTCTACTAAAAATAGAAAGAAATTAATTGGCCAACTAAAAATAGATAGAAAAAATTAGCCGGGCATGGTGGCGCATGCCTGCAGTCCCAGCTACTTGGGAGGCTGAGGCAGGAGGATCGAGTGAGCCCAGGAGTTTGAGGTTGCTGTGAGCTAGTCTGATGCCACAGCACTCTAGCCTGGGCAACAGAGGGAGATTCTTGTCTCAAAAAAAAAAGGGCCAGGCCGGAGAGCCTGGGTGAGAATGGAGCCCAAATGCAGCCCCAGATGGCCTGTGCCTGATTGGCACGGAGGGGCCGGCTTCCGTGTCCAGGGGAGGGTCTCTAGGGGGTGTCTGCAGAGATGCCTCCATTTTGGGGTGTGGCCCCTGAAACACTGGCCGACACAGCTGGGGCTGAGGGGATGGCAGAGGTCCTGCCCCTGGCTACCCTCAGTCAGGACCCTTGGCTAAAACCTGCACAGGTGGGACATCCCCACAGTGGCTCGTCCTCCAGGCCGCTGGGGGCGGGGCGGGGTGGGGCGGGAGGACACTGGCGGGGTGGGCAGCTCTGCCTGGGGCAGCATCCAGGGCTGAGGGGTAGAAGCCACAGGGAGCCTCTTACCGAGGGCCTGGTGGCCAGTGCAGAAGCAGCAGAGTGGGTGGATAGGGACCTGCTGGCTCCATCCTGTCCCCCAGACGGCCCCCTTGCCTACCCAGGGTCAGGTCAGCTCTGAGCAGTGGAGCCTCTGTCCCGTGTCCTGGGCTGGGTCATGGCCTTACCGCCCTACACACACCCAGGCCAGGGGCAGGCAGTGAAGAGGGAGCAAGGGCGGCTGCAGGGTGTGTGTGGGGGTCACAGCCCTGGGAGGCTGGAGAGGGCTGTGGGCAGGCCTGGGATGGGGCCAGGGAGGGGCTTGGGCTGAGGACGTCTGGGGTGGATAGCTCTTCCTCCAGCTTCCTGCCTTCTATTTTTAAAGGTTCCCTTTTAGTCTGGAGTAGTGGCCTTCCCACATCTTTTGGTTTATTAAATTGCCTTTTTGTGACACAACACTTGTCTTTTCACTTCCTTTTTTGATAAAAGCTGGCAACCCAGGCTGGGCGCGGTGGTTCACGCCTGTAATCCTAGCACTCTGGGAGGCTGAGATGGGCAGATCGCTCAAGGTAGGGAGTTCGAAAGCAGCCTAAGCAAGAGTGAGACGCCATCTCTATAAAAAATAGAGATTAATTGGCCAACTAAAAAAAAATATATAGAAAAAATTAGCTGGGCTTGGTGGCGTGTACCAGTAGTCCCAGCTACTCGGGAGGCTGAGGCAGGAGGATCACTTGAGCCCAGGAGTTTGAGGTTGCTGTGAGCTAGGCTGACACCACGGCACTTTAGCCTGGACAACATAGTGAGACTCTGTTTCTGGCAACCCTGTCAGACCCTGGTCTGCATGGGGTGGGGTGTTGTGGTTCAGGGCCCAAGGGGGAAGGATGGGGCTGGAAGAGGCCCCGCTGCTTAGAGCTGGGGTAAGGCAGACTCAGGAAAGAACCAAGGAGTGACTCTGAGCAGTTCCTTAATGGGTTCATCTGTCTGGCTGGGGGAGTCCTTGACCACTGGGGGCAGGTCCCCAGGGCAGGGGGCAGGAGGAAGCAGACACATCTGCAAGGAGGGGGCAAGTCTGGGTGGGAAGGCAGGTCCCCAGGGAGGGACTGTCCCTGCGTGTGGGTGAGGGCAAGGGTTTGGGGTACAGCCCCAAGTCCTCCCTCAGAACCAGGGCATGGGGGCTGGGAGGCCAGAAGTGGGGCCAGCTCAAGCCCAGGAACTGGAACCCCAGGGGTGGTGGTTCCTCAGAGGTGCTGCTGAGGGTCCAGGAGGCCCCAGACTTACTGGAGACCACGGATGTGTCCTGAGGGTGTTGCCAGGTGCCCTCTTTCTCCAGGAGGTTGGGGGTGCTGAGACTTGTGGAAAAGGGTCAAGGGCCAGCACCCACCAAAAATGGCAGAGGTGTGGCCGGCTTGTCCGTAGCCTGGCGGTGAGGCTCCGGTGCCCCACGCATCCCGGAGAGAACCCGGGGACCCTGGAGGACCGTCCTGCGGCCTGCGGGAGCTCCGAGCCCCCTCCCGCCCGGGCGCTCCTGGGGTGGTGCCCAAGCCGAGGGGCATCTGTGGGCGCAGCGGCTCCGGGACAGCGGCGGGGTGGGCAGGACGCTGCCTGGCGGGAACCCGGGTCTGAACCGGAGCCGAAACTACCGGCGACGCGGCGCGCGCAGGCGGCCGCTGGGCCTGGGGAGGTTGGGGGCGCGGGGAGCCCCGGCCCTCCCCTCCCGCGTCCTCCCCGCCCTCCGCTCCCCCTCTCCCCTGTCGGGGGCGGGGCCGGCAGCTCCCGCGCGCTCCGGCCCCTCCTTGGCCACACAAAGGCCGGTCTCCATGGCAGCAGCGCGGGCCGGAGCCCAGCGCCGAGCGCGGCCCGGCGCCATCGAGCCTCGGCGGCGGACTCGCAGGTACGGAGCTCGGGGACGGGGCCTGCGGGGGCGTCGCGCCGGTGGGGGCTTCGCCGTCGGCGCCGCCCCGCCCCGGCCGCCGCGCCCGGGCTTGGGGACCTTGGGGACCTGCGGCGGCTGCCGCCAGGAGGGCTCCGCGGGCCTGGGCCGCCGTCTGCCTGCGCGTCCGGGTGGGCCGGGCCGGGCCGCTGCAGCCCCACGCTCCTCCGGGCCCGGCGAGGCCTGCGGCGCGTGGCCAGGGAGATGGCCCGGCCGGGCTGGGGCCCCGCGTCCCGCTGGAGTCGCGTGGGATCCCTCCTGGTTCCGGACCCACCCTCTCCGCCCAAGTTCCCCACCTCTTAAGCCCCCCGAGACCCGCGCATCAAAGGGACATCGTCCCTCAAGTGCAAGAGCTCGGGGCCACCAGCCCCAGGCTGAGCCAGCACAGACGCCGGCTGGCCTGGCCCGGGCTTTCCCCAGGGGGCTGGACGCTGTCAGGCCTTGGCAGTCCCCAGGTCCCCTGGGGCAGTGTTCGGGGAGGTGGAGACCAGCACCCAGGACGTGGCGAAACCTCATGCCCTGGGCCTGCCCCTCGGTAGGGTCTCTGCAATCCCAGGCATGGGTCATTGGTGGGTTACCTGGGTGGACACCCCGAGACCCAGGAAGTCTTACAACTGAGGGGCGAGGGGTGGGGAGGTGATTGGTGCTTGGGCCTTGCCTCTCACCTGCTGGCGGGCCTCCTCCTGCAAGTAGCTGTGCTCTCCTGGCACTCTGTGGCCAGGCTACTTGGTGGAATTTGGGGGTCCTGCCTCCCCTATCTGGGGGTCTCAGCTCCAGAGCCCTGGAGCTTCCCTCCACGTCACTAGACTGCTCTTTCCAGCTCCTTGAAAAAGGAAGAAAGGCCTGTGCCCACCATGGCCCGTGGCAGAGATCAGGACTGGGGGTGTGTGAGGCTGGGCCCCAAACCCAGTCCAACCTCCTGGGGCCTGGAGAGCTCTCTGGGCCCTCACCTGCCCAAGGAGCTCCCTCTCGAGTGTCTAACTTCGGGTCCTGTGCCTTGAAGCACAGCAAGTCTGTGTGGCTTTAAAACCCAGCCTCCTTGGCATCAGGCAGGAGAGTGCAGCTGCCCGGAGTGGGGGCTCCCGGCCTGACCCCAGCCCAGATGTTGCCCTGGCAGGAAGGAGCAACCGGAGAGCTGGACCGTGGGGGGGAGGAGCTCTCCCTCCCCTGCCAGAGGTGAGGCTCCCTCCCAGGGTAGGATCAGCACAGAAACTCCCAAAGAAGAAGGAGCTGCAGGCGGCCCCCTGCCCCCCCCCCATATGAGGAGCTGGGGGAGGCCTGAGATCTGGCCAGGGGTTCCTTGCCCCAGTAAAGGAGGGAAGTGACTGAGAAAAACAAGGGTTTGGAATGCGAGTCCCCCCTCCCCCACGGGCTGCCTGCCAAGAAGGAATTATTTTGGATTATCCAGCCGCATCCAGCCACCCCCCAAAGGGGGAGAGGGATCCACTTCCGGGGCCATGAGTTGAGAGCCCCAGGAGGGAGGGACAGGCAAGTCTGGGCAGCTCCACCACCTCCTGCAGCGGCTGCTCAGACCGGTTGGGGGCAGGGCGGGGTGGGAGGGGATGTGTCACCTTTGGGTTGGCCCTGGCAGGCCCTGCCCAGCCTGGAGTGGGTCCACGGGACAGGAAGAGCTCTGGACCCAGCCAGGGGACCCCCTGTACTCCTAGAAGCCCCACAGCACAGCCTCCAGGCCTCTGAGGCCACCCTCCAGACCCAAGTTCAGGGATACACCTTGGGCAGGTCACCTACCCCGTACACCACCTGCCGAGCGAGGAGAGCTGAGGCTGGGGTGAGGGGGAGCGTGGGTCAGGCTGACTGGGGGGTATCTCTAAGGCTGAGCCCAGCTGGCTCACTGACTGATAGACATGCCCTCAACCTGGATGTGGCACCTGTCAGCCCGTCCATCTCACAGCTGGGGAGACTGAGGCCAGAGACGGGTCCCTGTGGAGAGCCTTCTGGGACGCTGTCGGGTCAGCCCCCAAGTCCAGGCCTGCGCGTGCCTGAGGCCATGTGCCCAGTGGCCTGCATGGGGACCGTGCTGGGGAGGCCGAGCTGGCAGCTGGGGCCCAAGTGCAGGGAGCCCAGGGGCCTGGCCCCAGCCCAGGCCAGTGGAGCAGAAGGGATTGGATTGGAAGGCGCCAGGGTGGGCTGGCGGCCTGGGGAGGGGTCCATATGGCACATGCCCTGTCCCCCGCCTCATTCCCGAGTTCCGGGGCCGGAGCTGATGATCCCCCTGGGGTGTTGGGTGCAGGGAGGGGGATGCACTGGCCAGGAGAGGCTGTGGCTTCCGTCACCCCCCACCCCCATGCTGTCCCTGAGCTAGGCAGACTGCTCTGCGTTGCCAGGCGCTCAGCCACGGAAGCTGTCTCCCCAGGAGCAAGAGTGCAGTTCCTCTAGCTTCAGCCAGGCCTCCGCCTTGGCCTCGAGGGCGTGGGCAGGAGTAGGCCTCCTATACCCAGACCCTGCCCTGGACACGGGTATGGGACGAGGCGGTGAGCTGAGCAGGCCTGGAGCCCAGCCCTGGCCTGCGAGGGTCCAGCCTTGACCACCCTTCTGCAAGGTGGACGCAGGTTCACCGGAGGGTCCTCTCCCCTGGGGGAGTGGGGCTGTGGGTGGGGTAGGGCCGGTCTCTGCCTAATTACAGGCTGGGAAGGGTGAGTCAGTGGCTGTGGTTGGCCAGGGGGTGCTGGGGGCCTGGGGGCCCCTGGCTGCCCTCCTCATTCCCAGCTACACATGGTTCCTCTCCTTTCTTCCTTTCCTTGGTTTCACATCCTCTGGCTACTGCGAGCACCCCATCCCCTTCCTGCTGACCAGCCACAGCCGCCCCAACCCCAAGCCAGGACCCCTGGGCACGGCGGCCCTCTCGGCCTTGCTGCCTTACCCCGGTCAGGGCGAGCGTTTGAAGGGACCGGCTGGGCGATGGGGACTCAGGCCCCAGATGGAGCCAGGGTGGTAGGGGACGGCAGAGCAAGCTGCTGGGGGGGGGGGTTACCCTCAGGTCAGCCCCACCCCATGGCCACGTCTGTGTCATGGGAGGAGCCTAGGGCTGCTCAGGGCCAGGAGCTGGGGTTCTGTTGCCCCTCTCTTTGGCCCCACCTCTGTGGCTCAAGGACACCCCGTCCCCCGCCACCCCCTTGAATGGCTGAGGTCACACCTGAGCTGCTTGGTGTCCCTGTTTGATTTGCCAGGTGAGTGAGGGCCTCGCCCTGGGCCAGGAACAGGAACGCCTTCCCTTTTTTTTTTTTTCTTTTTTTTGAGACAAGAGTCTCACTCTGTTGCCTGGGCTAGAGTGCCGTGGCATCAGCCTAGCTCACAGCAACCTCAGACTCCTGGGCTCCAGTGATCCTTCTGCCTCAGCCTCCCGAGTAGCTGGGACTACAGGCACGCGCCACCATGCCCGGCTAACTTTTTTCTATGTATATATATTAGTTGGCCAATTCATTTCTTTCTATTTTTAGTAGAGACGGGGGTCTCGCTTTTGCTCAGGCTGGTCTCAAACTCCTGACCTTGAGCGATCCTCCCGCCTCCGGCTCCCAGAGTGCTAGGATTACAGGCGTGAGCCACCGCGCCCGGCCTGCACACCTTCTCTTTCTCAGACCCCTGAGGTCTCCTGGCCTCTGAAACCCGGCAGTTCCCCATTCTGGTGCCAGCCGAGTCCAGGCACGGGCCTGCAGCAGGGAGAGGGAGGCTGCGTGGGTGCAGCCTCAGTTCCGACCGCAGACCTGCCAACAGCCCAGCAGCCCGTCCTGGGGCGCTGACGTCAGGGTGCAGGGATCGGGCCCTGGGGTGGGGCTCCCGCCCCACAGCTGGGCACAGCTGGCCACAGTCCCCATGTGGGGCTCTGGGTGGAGAAACACGGGGTCCAGCTCAGATGTCTGCGCTGCCCCAGCTGGGCCCCTCCTCAGCAAAAGCAAGAAAGAGGAAAAGGGCTTGATGTCCCCCGTGGTGGTGGAGGCCAGCTGTGTCAACACGGGCCCCTGAGGGGCCAGGCAGGTGTCTGCGCCTGTGGCTGGGACAGTTCCGGCCGCCTGCTGGCCCCTTGCAGGGCTGGGGCTCTTCCCAGGTGCCCACCTGCTGGGGCCAGACCAGGCATCTGTGGGCTGGTGACTGGGGGTCCTCCCAGGTGCTGAGGGAGGGGCTGGAGGCCGGTGGGGGCTCCTTTTCCAGGCAGCTTTGGGGGCTTCTCAGAGGAAGTGCCACTGCCCTGCCCGGTCCTCAGCTGGGTGCCAAAGGCTGAGGCAGTTTCCAGGGGGCTGTCCCTGGGGCAGCACAGGTGGCCCTGGTGAGAGGGCGCTCCATGGCTGGCACTGTGTCCACCTGAGCCCTGGCTTTGAATCTAGGTGAGTGCTGGGGGTCTGAGGATAGCCCCAAAGCAGGAGCGTGGCCCGTCAGGGGCCTGGCACAAGAGGCAGGGGCTTCGGCGTGGCAGATGGTGGGGAAGTTGGGGTGACCTCAGCCTTGCAGGGCCTCTCCTAGCCACAGGGGGGGGCTTGCGGACAAATGGGAGGTCGGGGCTCTGTGGGTCCTCACCACCCCCAGGTGTGTTTGGAGCTGGGCCAGCTCTGGAGCCAAGGCCCAGGGCTCTCTGGGGAGGATGGTGGCTGCTCCCAGGGAGGGGGGGGAGGAAGCCCAGCTGGGCCCCCCACCCGGCCTCACCCGCCTGACACCAGGGCCACCCCTCTCCCGCCCAGGGAGTGGGAGAAGCTATTTTGAGTTGAGCTGAGCTGGGCAAGCTGCCGGGAAAGGGGCAGGTGGTAGGAGGGAGGGGCTACAGCAGGACCCGCCCTCCTCCTAGCTCAGAGCTGCTCCCCCAGGTTGGCCAGAGCAATTGGAGGGGCTCGGCGCCCCCCCTTGGCATTAGACCTGATTTGGAGACTGCCCCAGGGACCCAGAAAAGGATTTCCGGGTGGGGGGGGAGGGGGAGACAAGGAGACCCAGGCAGACCTGCCCCACCCCCAGGC